TTTTCCTAGGAAACTGGCAAAAGGAAAATTGTGAAAATTTTTAAGAAAAAAGAGGAAAGCGAGGAGTTCATTATAGCGAATTTTTGAAATTTTCTAGTGAAAAATCAATCGAGGAAAAATTCTTGAAAATTGACTTATTTAAGGAAAATTAAGAAAAATTTACCTTCTTAATTTTATTTTTTTTTTTCTGGAAAACTGGCAAAGGGAAAATTTTGAAAATTTTCCAGGAAAAAGAGAAAAGTGAGGAGCTTATTAGAGGGAACTTTCAAAATTTTCCAGTGAAAAATCATTCCAGGAAAAATTCAAAGACAATTGACTCATTAAGGCAAAATTGAGGAAAATTCACCCTCTTACATTTTAATTTGTTTCTGGAAAACTAGCAACGGAAAAATTGTGCAATTTTTCCAGGAGAAAGACGAAAGTGAGGAGCCTATTATAGGATAATTTCAAAATTTTCCAATGGAAAATCATTCCAGGAAAAATTCTGGAAAATAGATTTTTTTAGGCAAAATTCATTTTCTTGGATTTTATTTTTTTCTTAGAAAACTGGCAAAAGGAAAATTGTGAAATTTTTTCAGAAAAAAAAGGAAAGTAAGGATTTCATTATAGCAAAATTTCAAAATTTTCCAGTGAAAATTCACTCCAGGAAAAATTCAGGAAAACTGACTTTTTTAAGCAAAATTCATTCTTTTACATTACAATTATTTTCTGGAAAATTGGCAGAGAAAAAATTGTGATATTTTTCCAGGAGAAAGACGAAAATGAGGAGCTTATTATAGGCAAATTTCAAAATTTTCCAGTGGAAAATCATTCCAGGAAAAATTCTGGAAAATTGACTATCTTAAGTAAAATTCATTTCCATTCTTTTTAGTTTTTTTCTAGAAAACTGGCAAAAAAAAAATTGTGAAAATTTTCCAGAAAAAAGAGGAAAGCGAGGAGTTCATTATAGCAAATTTTTAAAATTTTCTAGTGAAAAATCACTCGAGAAATAATTCTGGAAAATTGATTTATTTAAGCAAAATTAAGGAAAATTTACCTTCTTACATTTTAATTTTTTTCTGGAAAACTGGCAAAGGGAAAATTTTGAAAATTTTCCAGGAAAAAGAGAAAAGTGAGGAGCTTATTAGAGGGAACTTTCAAAATTTTCCAGTGAAAAATCATTCCAGGAAAAATTCAAAGACAATTGACTCATTAAGGCAAAATTGAGGAAAATTCACCCTCTTACATTTTAATTTGTTTCTGGAAAACTGGCAACGGAAAAATTGTGCAATTTTTCCAGGAGAAAGACGAAAGTGAGGAGCCTATTATAGGATAATTTCAAAGAGAAATAATTGAGAAATAATCGAGAAATAATTCTGGAAAATTGACTTTCAAAATTTTCCAGTGAAAAATCATTCCAGGAAAAATTCAAAGACAATTGACTTATTAAGGCAAAATTGCCAAAATTGAGAAAAATTCACCCTCTTACATTTTAATTTTTTTCTGGAAAACTGCCAACGGGAAAATTTTGAAATTTCTACAGGAGAAAGAGGAAAGTGAGGAGCTCATTAGAGGAAAATTTCAAAATTTTCCAGTGAAAAATCACTCCAGGAGAAATTTATTTATATATTTTCGGATAACTGAATAAAACACTACAACTGAATAAACTCTATTCTAAGTTAAAATAGTATATTTCCTAACTACTGCGGAAAGTACCGCTTTTCCCCACGCGACTGCGCGTCGGTCGGCAAGCGATCAAGTGCGAAAAAGAGACTTTCCGCACGAATTAGGAACACTATTTTTTCTACGAGATGAAAGATAATATTTTTATCTACATATTTATCAATTTAAGATATTTTTTTGTAGTATACCGGTTTACCTGTAAGTACCTGTATACCTAAAAATAAGTACACTTTTCCGCACGCTCATAGAAAATAGTTATTTACCTAACAAGTGCAGAAAGTTTTACTTTTCGCACGCAACGGCGTTTGCACGAACGACGGTGACCGCGCTGATGATGGATGGTTTCAATATCTCCCTCCTGTTCGGAAATTCAAAAAATCAATTTTCGTTTACATGAAACTTTTTGTTTTTTGATAATCTTGAATTGTCTGGCATTTGAATAGAAGATTGACATTGGGAAATAATTCAACAATGAAAAATGCCAGACGGTTTTCAATGTTCGAATAGATGGGGGATGAAGGTCAACTTGCAAGAAAAAAGTGAAACATTCCATATTTTTTTTGTTTTTTCGAGCAATCGAGAAAATGGAAGGTTTTGTCTTGAAAATATCGCTGAAAAATTGCTAGTCGATAATCGCAGTTCGAACTTCAGTTTCTTACAGAAATATCAAAATTTTTCGAATGTTCCAAACAATTTTCCGCGGGAAACTCGATTTCGAACTGGAATTAGTGTCTGGCAGTTTTTCAGCGTTATTTTCATGATAAAATATTTCATTCTCTCGATTGCCAGACTGAAAGAAAATGTGGAACTTTTGCTTTTTTCTTGCAATTTGACCCCTATGCCTCACTTTTTCGAACATTGAAAACCGTCAGGCATTTTTTATTTGTGATTTATTTTTCAATGTCAATCTTCTATTGAAACGCCAGACAATTTAAGATCTTAAAAGAATTTGATTTTCATGTAAATTCGAAAAATTTTCGAACAGGAGGCTGGCATTATAACTACCTACCCATATTCTCATCTATTAACGAGCCACATCCTGAAAATGCCAGACAAAAAAAATGACTCCACTCAACATTCCCTATCTTTATAACAAAATTTTTATTTGTAAAACTTTGAGATGTTGTGTTTAATTTAGAAAATAACTTTGTTTGTTATTTGCCCATTTGTTATTAATAAATAGTGTTAAGAAGATTACAGCATAATTTTGTTTTAGTTTATATATTTTCTGTTTTATGTATATTTAAGTACCTACCTACCTAATATTAATCAAAATAGATGTTTTTTTTTTATATATTAAATTACATTACCTATTTAGAAGACCGATTTTATTTCCTAAATACAGCAAATTAGACGTAGCAACTAGGTATTTAGTATAGCAACTGTATTATTTTGTGAATGTCTATTATATGATTTATTGTAACTTTTGCTTTTTTTTCACATATTATCGAGCATATCATCTAATGATGTAAAAAATAATATTCTAAAACCGCCGCGCCAGTTAGTCTATCATCTTACAAGGTAAAATCACAGAAAATAATAAATGCCGAGATGAAAAGCGCGCAACGCTGTTAAAATTTATTTGCCGGAAAGCTAGCGCGATTATAAATTATTTCAATTTTTAACTCCGGAGCAGCGCCTCTAGCGGCCTGCCGTCGCCCATAAGAGTGGGTTTTCTATAATAAGTGTTAACTATAATATTCTTTGCTAGAACCTACTAAGAATATCATAGGTATATTCTTTTTCTTGTGCTTTGTAGGACTTCCAAGAGAGGGAGCCACGCGCTATTACAGATCTACATCTTGCCTCGCGTTTGAATCACCTTGGAAACTGTTTCTCTCAGTTGACGTGCTTACCGCGACGAAACCGGAGCTTTAGTTTAACACTTGTGTTTTCCAGAGAAATTTTCCAACAACTCTTTCACTGCCTTTAAAATAAAAGGACTGAAATGTTATGTCTAGGATGCATATTGAGAATGATATGTAGATCTATTCTAAGAATATTTCAAGCATATTTGTATAATATTCTACTGAGAACATAACTATAATATCATAGAAACATTCTTTGAATGTGAGAATATACACTTATTCAAGCATATTTTTAGAATCAAACAGGAATATTCTTTTCAGGATGTATTAAGAATCTCATGGGTATATTCTACGAATATCCTAATGGATTTCCCAGGAAGTTCTTGGGTATTGCAAACAGTATTTCGACAATCTTTTCTCAGAACATTCTCAGGACATTCGCAATGGTTTTGGCGAACATTCTAGGCACATACCTCCTAAAAAAAGAACATTCTCAGTACATTCTAAGAATGCAATTTTGTTATGTGGGTTGTAACTCTATTTATTGCTTTAGAGTTTTACGTACAGGCGCTTCTTTCTAGCTCTAATATTTTTTGAGCTTAAGGACTTCCAAGCATCAAGAAAGATAGGAATGTCTTCCAAAGGTACTTTTCAGTTTGTCAGCTCTATTAATGGTTAATACTCTACAATTTCACATACTGAGCTCGTTTCCAGCTCTAATATTTAATGCTCTACAATTTTACATAGGTATTGAGCTCGTTTCCAGCTCTACCTAATATTTTTTTGAGTTAGAGACGTCCAAGTATTGAGCGCATATAGATGTTTTCCGAAAGCATTTCAGCCCTTCTATGATCATAATTTTTGTTGCTTTTCAGTTTTATATGAGCAGCTCTTTTTTGGTTACCAAAAATTGAGAAATAGAGAAAAGAAATTCAACAGGTATTGAGAAAAAATTCATAGAAATAAAGGGTTTTGTTTCTTTCATGCCCTCGAATTTTCTCTATTTAGAAAAATTTAGAGGAAAACGAAAATTCAAGAGCCGTGAATAGATAAAAATTGAAAATTGAGATGGAAAAATTGAGAAATTTTCGTTATTATTTCAAGAGCTACCTAATTATTATTTTTGAATTATTATTCCAAAATACAAGTCTACTAGAAATTATTCAAATCTTGCATTTATGATTTGACTTGGCAACACTGCAAAATGACAATTTTCATGGATGTTCTCTTCCTTTACTATTCATTGATTAAAGTTGAAAAGAGACAGCCGAATAAACGATTGAGTGTGTAAGACAAAGAAAGAACCTCAATGAAGCAAAATCATTAAATTTTACAAAGAAAATCAACGATTTTCCTCAATTTAGATGTTTTGGCCTATTAATTTTTCCATCAAGAACCATTTATTATTTAGCTATTCTTGTGAAACTGAATATTAATTATTATTTTACTAAAACTTAAAGGGAGATGCCAAATAGTATTTAGAATAAGTGCAACAAAGACAAAAAAATAACATAACCTCAAATTTGTTTGTAATTTTGTCAACCCAAAACACAAAGGTGTGAGGTGTGTACAGTGTCTACAAAAACACCCAAATAATGTAATAAATAAGAATTACTCACCTTCAATAACGGTAAGCAATATTCCAGTTAAATTTTAAACCATATTTTGCTTTGTAATTTACAAAAAAAAAAACCACTGCTCACTAGACTAGATTCTCACCCAAGGTCCGGATAACCTAGAAATTTTCCTGGATAAAGCCAGGTGGCAGAGAGCAAATTTTTCTGGAAATAGTTTGAAAATGGGCAGTGCAGATATCGATATGAATGGGGCGGAATATTGCAAGGAATTTAGACGGTTGAAAGTGTTGCCGGCTAATGACCAAATCAAGGAGCTGCAAACTATTTTGAGAGACAAGTAAGAATTTTGTTTTGTATTTGATCGGCTTCCGGCTCTAGTTTAATAAATACATTAAACTTCGTTTTCTAATACCTACACCTTGCAGCTTTAATAATTGTATAATGCTCTCTTTGTTAGTGATGAGCGATATCTCACGAACTGTGATTTAATCACTGATATCTAAAAATCACAGATCACGACCGCTACCAAAGTTCTACAAAAAGCGTGACGTGATCACGACAACGTAGCTCACTAATTTCTTGCCTTTAAAGAATAATTTCTTCTTTTTTTAATTACAATTTCCTCAACAACAAATTCCACCGGAAATTCCATAGTCGTCATTTGCCGCCGCGATATTTGGTAGATTTCAGCTGCCAAATATCTTGACGAAGACCGCTAGTAGAAAATAGCATATTCCTGCATCAGTTTCAGTTGTTCAAAAATATATTGAAAGTCAAGATTTAGTCATGCTTCAAAATCACTGTTATTCTAAAATCACAGTAAGTATCAGTTAACAGTGTGATTTGAAAATCACGGTATCGCTCATCACTACTCTTTGTAACAATAAACTAAACTTTTAACCTAGGAAAGTTCCATTTAGGGGATGGTCCACTCTGATTCTCAACGTCTCAATTTTAAATCTCAAATAATTTAAAAACTAGGTATAATAGTAAAAAACTTCGTAGGTATCGTTTTATATATGTTTAAGCAGAAACCTATGTATTTACCTATACATACATACTTAGATACGTACAGGGTTTCTGTCGAGGTTTCTGTACTGTGAACGAAGGGTTGCTTATTTATATTCTCGTTTACATTGTTCTGTAAATTTTAAACCAACCAAATTTTCTGAATTTCAGTTGAGATTTTATGAATTACTGAGTGAAATGATTCATTTGAAAAATCTAAATTACCTACAAGGGAGATTTTCTGAATTACATTTGAAACCCAAGGATTAAAAGTGAGATTTTCTGAATTAAATGTATTTGAAAAATCTGAATTACAACTGATACATTCTGAATTACAATTGAAAAAGGTTTCAGTGTCAAGTGCCATCATCTCTGTTTAATCAAAAGATACTTTCCCACCAAAATGTTGATTACTTTTGTAGTTTGAGGCTTAAGTACCTATTTGAAGTTTTTTTTTTTCTTATCTAAAATTTGAAGCCATTTGAGTGCTGGTCGAATATTGCTACACATACCCATATGGATATTTGGTTCTCAAAGTTCACTGGGGCTGATTTTGGAATTCTAGAAATGTTTCTCGAAAATTTAAAATGCTATTGAATTCAAATTTTGAATATTCCCAGCTGCTGATTGGGTTGTTTTGGCACTAAAAATCAAATTATGAATATTCCCTCATAGATAGAAAGCTGACTCTTTCAGCGATTCTTATCCTAGTGGAGTATTGCAATCCCTGAAAATTTCAGAATCCTATAGGATTCTATGAAAAAAGGCACTCACAAAAATTGATGTCACCCCAAATTGCTTAAGATGATTTTATTTCTGGAACTATAAGTCCAAATGAGCTGAAATTTTCAGGAGTTGTAGTCCTCTACTGGGATAAGAATCGGTGAAAATTTTAGCATTCTATCTTGATTAGAAAAAAAGTTATGACCTTGGTTATGACTTTTCAAAGTTTCCAAAATCTAAATCATAAGATAGCTAATACTAAAACGATGAAATTAAAAAAAAAAATGTGTTGAGATTTTGTGTTCTAATGGTCTTTTGGGATCCCCCAAACCTCATACTAAAGGGAGTGGAACTTATAATTGCGATTCATCGAAAAAAGGGTTTTTGTGAAAATATGGACATTTTCACCCTAGTCTCAGGCACCAACAGTACTGGAAAGTATAGGCAGTACCAAAATACATCGTTTGGGAAACCTCACTTGACTTGCAAATTACTTTGAGGGTGGTTTAAGGAAGTGAAACTAATAATTGCGATTCATCAAAATAGTTATTTTCCTAACAAGTGCGCAAAGTGTTACTTTTCCGCACGCAAACACAGTTATACGAACGACGCGAAGCGGAGTTCGGATACGTGTTTGCGTGCGGAAAAGACACTTTGCGCACGTGTTAGGAACAACATTTTTCCTACGAGCTTCATATCAGGTAGGTAATAACAAAAATTAAAAAAAAAAAAAACGATAATTTGTTTAATTATTTTTAATTAACTTGAAAGGAACCTATGCATTTATCAAAAAATTACATAACAGAAACAAATAACAGAAAATCCTCGTCAGAGCTGTTCATCTTAAAGCGTTTAAATTTGATGAGAAAGTTTATAGATTTTTGCATATAAATAGAGAACAAATCTGATGGGTCAAAGTTAATTTATAATTGGTGTTTGTATAGATGTTGGCTGATATAGAAATAGAGGAAAAATTTGTCATCATGTGTCAAAGTCGACAGGTGCACTTATTGTTGCTTGACAATTATAATTACTTTTCGGCACTCAGTGCGGATAAGGCCTGTATCCGCACTGAGTGCGGAAAAGTGTAACTTTGAGCCCGGAAATGCGTGCGGAAAAGTACTACTTTGCGCACGCTCGTAGGAAATAGCTATTTATACAATAAGTTACGAAATGAGCGTCTTTTAGGCACGCGACGTGAAAATTGTCCAACGAGGCAAAGCCGAGTTGGACAACACGTCGAGTGACTAAAAGACATCGTTTCGTAACGTATTGTATACAAGATTTTTTCTACTGGCATTTTATAATAAAAAAACACAATTTTATTTCATGTGAATAAGTCGATTACACCCAAAATCTTTGTTACCTGTTTTTACTTGACACCTGACACTTTTCATGCGATTTTCTTTTCAAAATTTGACATCAATAATTAAAATCCTAGAAAGTAGGTAATAACACAAAGTTCTGTTTTGAGTAACCCAAACATTCGATTCAGTAATTCCATTTTCAATATTCATAATAAATACAAAACAAAATTCAAATATGTGTTTAGTGTGTTTTTTATTTCTGAATAATGAATGACACTTTTAGGCACTAGTGCTTAAAAATTACTTTTACGCACTCATAAGTCACTTTTACGCATTCAAAAGTCACTTTTACGCACTGAGTGCTTAAAAGTAACTTTCACGCACTCAGTGCCTAAAAGAATGTCGTTTCAAAACTGAAATGACAATCGAAAAGTTGCTATTATGAAACGTCAGTAGAAAAAATAATTATTTATGATATAAGTGCTAAAAGTGACATTTTATATTAAGAAAAGGGAAGTTTGGGAAACGACGCCGAAGGCGGAGTGTTCCATCCCTTTGAACAAAATAAAATCACTTTTAGCACGAATATCATACACTATTTTTTCTACAAACGCACTAACAGTGATTACTTTTAGCACTCAGTGCTAAAAGTAATCACTTTTAACACCAGTGTCATAAAATGGCATTTTAGACACTGACAGCATCAGTTAAAAATGACACTCTTAGTGACATTTGTAGAAAAAGGGTTTTTCTGCGACTGACAAAAAATGTCAGCATTTTTGACCGGTTGACAGGTCGCAAAACTCAATATTCTGGTATTTCAATTATGTTTCAATAGTTGCTAAGGAATCAACGAATAACAATACAGAAAACACTTTTCCGGCCTACGCCGGGAAAGTGATTCTCGTACTGCTGAATAATTGGAACATAAAGACGAACATTTCACAGATATTTAACCGATCGCAGAAAAAAATAGTAAGGTACCTGACCCAAATAAGGCCATGTACCTAATAAGGCCAGTGCCCCTTATTGCTTAATATTGAATCCCATCTTCAAAAATTACAATATTATTGAAAAAGATATCTATAATGCAAATCAAAAATTATTGCGAGGATTCCTAGCAACTCGTTATATGTCGAAAAATGACTAACCACAGATTTCATATGTCACGTTATAACTTTGAGGCTGGAACTTAATTAGTTTATATACAAGATTATGAAGTGAATGGAGCGAATGTAATTTTTACACGGACATTTATGTATTGAGAAACCTACAGAGAAAGTATAGAATAATATCTTTGCTAGATTTATAGTAACAGACTTTTTTTTATCAATGTTACACGTTCCTAATAAGGCCACATGAAAAATTTTTAATTGGCCTCACATCACAGTGCTTTTTAGAAGAATGTGTTATATTATTACTTAAGTGATGTGTTTTAGAGTGCCTGGAGTCTAACCAAGCAAAAAAAGCTGCGGTTCATTTGTCCTAATTGTATGTAGACCTATTTGGATCACCATCCCAGGACTTAAAATTATTGTTTTTTTAAGAATGCAGCAAACGTTAAAGTTCTATTCTGAGTACTTTTTGTCAAAAAAAAAAAAAAATTATAACTGATTCATTTTACTTTAAACATATTTTATTGGTGGCCCTATTAGGAGCATAGTGATCCAAATAAGTCCAATGGTAAGGGTCTTTGTTTTACGCAAAGACCACACCTTATATGTAAAAATAAATAAATTGGGGTTAATATTCAATCGATAGAAACGATACACTTCACATATAAGCTCGTGATTTTTGTTGGGTTTGGTGGATAGTGTTCGGAAGAAATAAAAATTCTTAACATGGCCTTATTTGGGACAGGTGCCTTATATGTATTTTGGTGGGAAAGCACATTCTCCACCTAAATACACAATATACTATTTTGTGAAAACATGAACATTTCCACTCTAGTCTCGGACACAGACCATACTGGAAATTATAGGCAGTACCAAAATACATCGTTTGGGGAACCTCACTTGACTTGCAAATACTTAAATTACTTTGAGGGTAGTTCACTTACACTAAATTATTCTGAGATTTAGAACCGGATTCTATGAAAAAAGGCACTTAGAAAAATTAAAAAATTGACAAATCACCCCAAATTGCTCAACACGATTTTATTTCTGGAACTATGAGTCCAAATGAGCAGAAATTTTCAGGGATTGTAGTCCTCTACTGGGATAAGAATCGCTGAAAATTTTTGCTTTCTATCTTTAATAGAAAAAAAAGTTCTGACCTTTCAAAGTTTCTCATAAGGTAGTTACCTTCCTCGGTTTTATCATACTAAGGGCCAGTCAGTGAAGTGTGCAATTAGTGACCAAAAGTTAAGTATCAATTTTTAGGAACACAACAAGAAGTGACTTCAAATTTTACGCAGATCGTCTAATCCGTCTCGTTATCGAAGAGAGCCTAAATCAGTTACCTTTCACTGAATGCAACGTTATCACACCTACTGGAGCAACTTATAATGGTAAATACTCAGTCAAAACACAACATTACTTACAATTTTTGCCATTTAGGTTTAAAATACAAATCTGGAAACTGTGGAGTCTCAATAGTAAGATCTGGTGAGTCAATGGAGCAAGGCTTAAGAGATTGTTGCAGAAGCATTAGGATAGGGAAGATTCTTGTTGAATCTGATGCAGATACTCATGAGGCTAGAGTTGTTTATGCTCGATTTCCTGAAGATATTGATAGGAGACATGTATGTTTTTTAATTTAGAAGCTTTACAGGTCCTTAAAAATATTCTTTTAAGGTGCTACTAATGTATCCAATCATGTCAACAGGCAATACAGTGAGTAAAGCAGTCAATGTATTAAAGGAACATGGTGTTAAAGAAGACTGCATTATTTTGAGTAATTTATTTTGCACCCCACAAGCCGTCCAAACAATTTTGGAGTCGTACCCAAAAGTGAGTACAATTTTTTATTGTTTTCAGTTTAAAAACTGTTGCATATTTCAGATGAAAATATTGACTTCAGAGGTGCACCCTGTAGCTCCAAATCATTTTGGACAAAAATATTTTGGTACTGATTAAGTAATAATTTTAAGACTGATACATTCATTATTGGTGCACAATTTATTTTACTCTAGATTTAGATTAAACTTATATGCATTTTTAGAAATGTCTACTTCTAGTCTCAATGTACCCAATTCAATTTTGCTCGAACGATGTAAGTAGATAATTTTGATTTTAAACAGTTGTAGAGAAGCTCTAAAAACTTAACTTTTTTCCATTGTCTCGAATTGGTTAACTGATTTTTTTCTAAAAGAAACTAGATTTTTCATTAAAGTGTTCCAACTAATAATATTTTATTACTTTTATAATAATTCAAAACCAGTGCTTCATAATTAAAAGCTGTGATTGGTTACTTTGATGTTAATAAAAATTGTGATTTTTATTTCAAAAATATACCTACTTTTTCCGTTTTTTATCAAATTCACATTTACCTGCATTGGTTCAAGGATAAACTTTTTCAGGTGAAGGTAAACATTCATTTTGCCACATTCCATATTGATTTTCACATAATAAAGACGCATATTTAAATAAAACAATATTTATTTGAATTTCGCAGCAACAAATATTTACAATAAAATACCTCTTGTATGTAAAAGTGCATTTTCTAATAATGTTTAAAAATATGTAAAATTTTCTCAGATAAGGTACTCTCTGCTAAAGGACTTGTAAATTCTGAAAAAAAAAACAAGTATGTATTTTTCTTTAGAAAACAACACCTGTGCAACCGCATCAAATCGCCCACCCCCTTTAAAACTGTACACCCGTCCAATGTGCACAAGTGCGGCCACAATAATATCATTTGCACACCCCACAAATCAGATCATACACCCTCAAGGGTCGTCACTTCTTTTAATTTTGTTTTGGTTTATTAATACAGAGATATAGGGAGGCTGATATCATTTAAATTTAAAAAAAGCGAGGGTTCAATATTGTAATGTAAATTGAAGGGGGTTGAGGCAATTATTATTTTTTCACCTTTCTTCATCAATCTGCTATTGATTCTCATCAGGCTGAACCTCAGCTTCTTGAGTCTTGGTAATTTCTTCGCGCAATCTCAAATGATCTTGCAATATCATGTCTTCAACTGAAGGACCTTCTTCTTCGGTATCTTCAGCTGATGGTTCTTTATTGAGGGCCTTATAGATTTCTGCTCTGTTTTCAAGGATTTCTTTCACAAGATCAGTCAAGATGTCTCTGCTGCTGACCATATCCTGGATTTCGTGCGTCACTTCCTTAATCAGCCACGGCATAAAGGATTCGTCAATATCTAGAATGGATTTGTTAATATTTGCCTTATTAAGTTTTTGGTTATTACCTTCTTTAATATTATCCATCATGAATCCTTCTTCTTCTAATCCTTCAATTACTGAAGGTAATAAATCAGCCATGTACCCTTGCATTAGAACAGCTCCAGCTATTCTTTCTTCCATTTCTTTTTGCACTTTAACACCTTCTTCGTGCTCTGCCATTCTGCGTTCTTTTTCTTTCACCAGTCTTTTTTCTCTTTCTTCTAATCTAAAATCAATTTATTTGTAAAACAAATAAAAACTATAGCTACAAATTAGTTACCTGTAAGCTTCTGCTTGTTCAGTAGCTCTCAGTTCCAAAAATCGTCGTTGTTGCTCCCTCAATGAAGCCAATTCTTCCTCTTCCAACACCTCAATTAGAGCTTGCTCAACTGTTTTGCCCACAAGCACTTCCAGGATTGGTTGGACTTCCATATCAAAATCAAACAGCTGAAATATTTTTTTTAGATTATGTGTATAGGACTTTAAAATGAAAAATTCTTACATCTCCAGGATATATTTGAGTTTCAACATCGGCACCGGTTTTAGCAGGCACATAAAACGGCGATATCGGTCTTTCGACGAACAAGTCGGTTTGGGTGCAAACATCTTCGACTGGAGGATTGACGAAGAGTTCTTCCAAATAGACTTCAGTTTGGATAGTTTCGTGACGCCTTCCTAAAATTTCGATTTTGGTATTTTAGAAGTTAAAAATTGATATTTTTACCAGCCACTGGGGGAGGCGATCCGAGTCGCAGCTGGTTGGGTTTGTAATGCTGGTTTTTGGCTTTTCTACGAGCCAGGGCTCTTCGTCTCGCTTCAGCTACCCTGGAAGCTCCAGAATCGCCATCACCCTATAAAGAGAATTAGATAGGTAATGAGGAAATTTTGAACAAATCAAATTGGGAGATGATTTCCAGAATCTGTTTCCTGAAATGATGGGAAAGTTAAAGTCCAACCTATTGTTTTTGTTGAAGATGCAGTTTCTCAGCTCAGGAAACCTTTTGATGAAGAAAAATCCTTCAAGTATTGAAATTATCATTGGGACTTGCTTGGTTGATGATATGAAAAAAAGAGGACTTCAATGCTGATTCGAAAGAGATAAGGAGATGACAAAATTATCATTTATTTTCTTCTGAATCAACTTGTGATAACAGGGGAAGAAGTAAATACAGATTTGAAAATGAGATTGTGAGAAAAATCCTGTGCTGAAATTGAACAGAGGAGTTGAATTCAAGTATTAGAATCAATCAAAAGAACATCATAAGAGGTATGGAAAAGGCAACAACGAAGGGCTCCTGTATTATTTGATAAATATTTCATGTACAGGGTGGTCGAATTTGGATAGCTTTAATAGGAAACGTCAACTTAACGAAAAACACAAAAATGAACCCCCTATTCCGAGGCTCAAATTTATTAAAAATCTTATCTATTGAATTAGGCAATTTTCGACAGCTGTCAAAGTTGAATTTGATAGTTGCAGGTCTAGTGGGCTTGTAAAAAAATTGACATCTGTCAAACGTAATCAATTTGACAGCAAGCCACGATTTAATGTCCATTGAGATTAAAATTTGGGTCATTCTTGTAGAATGAAAATCATAATTCTTGAATCAAGAAATTTTTGATCAATGTCAAAGTTAAGTTTGACAGTTGGATGTCTGATGAACTTGTAAAAAAATTGACAACAGTCGAACGTAACTATTTTGACAGTAAGCCTAATAAGCCACGATTTAATGTGCATTAATATTGAAATTTGTGTCATTTTTGTAGAATAAAAATCATATTCTCGAATCAAGAAATTTTTAATTAATGTCAAAGTTAAATTTGACAGTTGGATGTCTGATGAACTTGTGAAAAAATTGACAACAGACAAATATAATTATTTTGACAGTAAGGCACAATTGATTGTTTCTCGATTTTAGAGTTTGTGTCATTTTTGTAGAATAAAAATCATAACTCTTGAATCAAGAAATGTTTGATTAATGTCAAAGTTAAATTTGACAGTTGGATGTCTGATGAACTTGTAAAAATATTGACACCAGTCAAACATAAGTAATTTGACAGTAAGCCACGATTTAATGTCCGTTGAGATTAAAATTTGTGTCATTCTCGTAAAATAAAAATCGTTACTCTTGATAGATTAGGCAATTTGTGAATAATGTCAAAGTTGAATTTGACAGTTGGATATCTGATGAACTTGTGAAAAAACTGACAACAGTCAAATGTAATTATTTTGACAGTAAGCCACGATTTAATGTCCATTAATTGAGATTAAAATTTGTGTTATTTTTGTAGAATAAAAATCATAATTCTTGAATCAAACAATTTTAGATTAATGTCAAAGGTAAATTTGACAGTTGGATGTCTGATGAACTTGTGAAAAAATTGACAACAGTCAAATGTAATTACTTTGACAGTAAGTCACGATTTAATGTCCATTGATATTAAAATTTGTGACATTTTTGTAGAATAAAAAACATACTCTTGAATGAAGAAATTTTTGATTAATGTCAAAGTTAAATTTGACAGTTGGATATCTGACAACAGTCAAATGTAATTACTTTGACAGTAAGTCACGATTTAATGTCCATTGATATTAAAAGTTGTGTCATTTTCGTAAAATAAAAATCATAACTCTTGAATCAAGAAATTTTTGATTAATGTCAAAGTTAAATTTGACAGTTGGATGTTTGATGAACTTGCGAAAAAATTGAGATCAGTCAAATATAATTATTTTGACAGTAAGGCACGATTTAATGTCCGTTGAAATTAAAATTTGTGTCATTCTTGTAGAATAAAAAGCGTTACTCTTGGATTAGGCAATTTTTGACTAATGTCAAAGTTAAATTTGACAGTTGGATATCTGATGAACTTGTGAAAAAACTGACAACAGTCAAATGTAATTATTTTGACAGTAAGCCATGCTTTAATGTCCATTAATTGAGATTAAAATTTGTGTTATTTCAGTAGAATAAAAATCATAACTCTTGAATCTAAAAATTTTAGATTAATGTCAAAGGTAAATTTGACAGTTGGATGTCTGATGAACTTGTGAAAAAATTGACAACAGTCAAATGTAATTACTTTGACAGTAAGCCACGATTTAATATCCAATAATATTAAAATTTTTGTAGAATAAAAAACATACTCTTGAATGAAGACATTTTTGATTAATGTCAAAGTTAAATTTGACATTTGGATGTGAAAAAATTGAAACCAGTCAAATGTAATTATTTTGACAGTAAGGCTGTCAAATATTGGAATTTAATATTCAAAAGCAGGGTAATTATCGCAGATTTCGATGAAGCAAGTATCGATTCCTACTAAGTCGACCATGTTAAATCGAAAAATAAAATGTCAAACATTTTGACATCTGTCAAAATCCTGCCAAACGGCAGCACTCATATTTTTCAACTTTCAATATTTCTTGATGTGTCATTTGAAATTTCAACCTATGTAAGTTCAAAAATTGAAAAAAAAATTACAGAACTGTCAAAACCTGTCATTTTTTTTAGTGAAAAAAAGATTCCAATTTGGCTCTTTTTCGTTTAAAGGTAGTTTATTGGTGATAAAACATTAAATAAAGCTCAGACATCAAATTTTAACAGCTGTCAGAATCTGACATTGGCTTTAATTGAAAAAAAAAAAAAACTGAACTCTAGATCTGTTATCCAATTATTTAAGTTATGCTTATTTATTATGAAGCATAAAAAGAATTTATACACAGGTTTCAGATTTTGACAGCTGTCAAAATTTGACGTCGATGAGCTTTGCTGGATGTTTTATCACCAAGAAACTACCTTAAAACAAGAAAGAACCAGAGATGAATATTTTTTCCTACTAAAATAAATGACAGGTTTTGACAGTTCTGTAATTTTTTTTTCCAATTTTTAACTCAGAACTTACATAAGCTAAAACTGTCAAATGACACATCATGATATATTGAAAACTGAAAAATATGAGTGCTGCCGTTTGGCAGGGTTTTGACAGGTTTCAAAATGGTTGACATTTTTCGATTTACCTGCGATAATTACCCTGCTTTTGAATATTAAATTCCAATATTTGACAGCCGATAACGCCTCACCTGTCATATATACATACAATACGCCATCACCAATAACATATTTAAATTTCATCCAAATATCACGGGTAACCAATTTACGTTTAAATATTACGGACTCCTTTGACCGTTGAATGTCTGATGAACTTGAAAAGAAATTGACATCAGTCAAATGTAATTATTTTGACAGTAAGCCACTATATTTAATGTCCATTGAAGTTAAAATTTCTGTCTTTTTCTTTAAAGGCGATTTTCAGCCTGAAATGATTATTTATCGGTAAATACCATGGTTATTCTGTTGGTTGACAACTTTGACAACCAAGTGTGACGTCATAGCTCTTCACCACTCAAGAATCATAACCCAACTCCCAAGGATCTCCAAAATAATAACAATAACATCAAAACGCTGCAACCAAAAGATTAACCCAAGTCCAAAGCTGGGTTATAATCGGTAAATACAAATCAGCTGATCAGTGACGTCACAACTTCCCCTACTTTGGTAAAAACGAGGCGGTAAAAACTGCGACAGCGGAAATGCATGCTGAAAATCACCTTGAATAAAATTTGTAACTCTTGGATTAGGCAATTTTTGACAGCTGTCATAAAATCTTCATTGGTGCAAACCGCATTTTGATATCTGCAACTGTTTTGCCGCTGGAGGGTCTTTCTCGATTTAAAGCAATACGGTGAATTGTACACCCTATATATTAATACCTACCTCATTGGAAAGCACTAATTTTGCTGATTTTGCAAATTGGACCACTCTGTACATCACCGATTTTTCAGATTTATTCTAACTTCCTTATGATATTATACCCGGGTTGAAAGTAGGAATTATCTCTGTTATCATATGAATCTGTTTTGGGGTGAAAATGAACATCTTTCAGAAATGAAGTCAATTAGTGAGAAGTTGAGATGATACACTGATTCCATTAGCAGTATGTCCAAAGGAAAATTGTGTGAATTTCCGAGAAGAAACGTTCCAAAATGGGTCAGCAATTTATAATTCAAAGCCTCAACCTGAATTCTCATAATAATTTCAATAAACAAAACCCTCAATAAAATATCATTGTGGGGCGACACAGACAGAAAGGGTGGCATTAGCCTCAATTCCTGTATCGAAAGGGGTCATCACAGCCCAGATAGAGTTCAATCGATTGTTCTCATTCAGAATCGGCTCATTTCCAATAATCAAAAAAAGAAAAATGACGAAATACTTACTTCATCTCTGGATAGTAGTTTGGCATAAGCAAAATGAGGATTCCACTTGGGCTGCGTTAATAAACGGACAGTAATGGTTAATTTTTTGTTTGTTTTGGTTCAACCAATTGAAGCAAATTTGGAAATAATAAAAAAAATGGGCCGATTTTTTTGCATCCTAATTTTTTATACACGTACCACATGTTGTAGAGCAAAATTGCTACCTCGGAACACTCGTTTGTCGTGCATAATATTGCCATATTGCGATTCTCTGGAAATAAGAAAATATTTTAGTTATTATTTGTTGAACTACTTATGCTAAGATAATTATTGTTTTGCCCCATTGGAATCACTGCTTTTTTGGTTAACTTACTCATTTCCTGCATCAGCTAAATCATCAAAATACCTGAAACCAGCAACACCTCCAGCAATTTTAGCTGCCGCGAAAGCCGCAGTGCATTTTTGCACGTGCACAAATTTCCCCGGTGATCTGTTCAACACCCTAGGTTGACTAGCGTAAGTAAAAAGCTTTTTGCATTCTTCCTTTTTATGTAAATGAGCTACAGGAGGTTCTAGGAAGGTACCTTTCGGTACGGTGGTTACAAACGGTTTCCGGTGCTTGTCCAGGTAATTGTTGGTTATTTTTTTGTTTGCCTGATGGTGCTTTTCTTCGCGTTGTAAACGACGTAGTTTGGCGTCTAGGGTTTTGGTGAATTTCGAATCCACCTGTATGGAGAGGAGGAAGAAATAGATGACAAAAAAAATAAGTCAATAAAGTCATCCCTAATAACACAGAGAGGTTTTATAAACATCTATTGATGTTTGTAAGAAGATTGAATTTGTTCATGAGTGAGGTTCTGTCAAAGGCTGTTTGTTTCTAAAGTATTTGGCTACTTACTCCAAAAGGGATGGGAAGAAACTTTTCTGTATGAGGGTCGCAGTAAAAAAAGATTTCCTTTCGGAGATCAAATAGAACAGTATATAAAACTGTAGTAAATGAATCTCACTCTATAGGTAATTAATTTAGTAGCAAATAGGCTCATAACTTTTTTACCAAATTCTTTTGAAGTTTCTGGCAATTATTCTGTTATATATCTTCTTCTCCAGTTGATTTTCCAAAAGTAGTTGACGCCTGTTTGTTCAGTAGATTATTCTCAAGCTCCTGATGTTTATGTTTCTATGAAGCTTCTTTTCTTTAATTGATTCTTTAACTGAGCTACATACTCTAAAGCTTCTGGCCTTCGCTTTTTAAGCTCTTCTCTTTAATTAAATTGGTTTTTAGAACAAGATTGACCTGTTTTATCAGTCGTGGTACTGGTTTTTGTTTTCTCCTAATTTGATTCTTCAAGAGTAGCTTCAACATCTTCTGAGATTTCTTATATTGGTTCCTCTTTCTGTTAAATCGATTAAATAGGAGCCACTGACGGTTTGGTTGCTTCTTCATAGTCTCTGGTATGAGCTTTTTGAGGCTATTTTTCTCAAATCGATTCCTCAGACGAGATTTTTGCACCTTCTTTGTCGTAATAATCCATGTGAGTATGTCATTCCAGCAATATCTTCTGCACTAAGCTTCTTATACATTATATGAACAATGATGATGATGGGGATCAGGCTTTAATCAAAGACAAATAAATCCAGTACAAATCATTATTTCAATACAACTTCATCAGTGTCGCAGCTACCAAACTTCAAAGTTGATCCGAACAGTAAGAAAGATTTTTCCTAAAACGACATTGACTCACATTTTGCCTAACAACTCCGGTAATTTTGATCAGATCTCAACATAATTAGGTTTCAATTGAAGGCAAATAAATCCTCTACAAAACGTTAATTATTATTTCAATACAGCTTCGTCAGTGTCGCAGCTACCAAGCTTCAAATTTGATCCCAGCAAAAAATAAAATAAACGATTTTACAAAATTCCGGTTTTTTCCGAATGTTTCCGGAATCTCACTAATATCAAAACGGCATTCTATTGGATATAAAATTGTGCAACTTTACCATAATTTAACCGTATCTCTTACGGTTTCCGAGATCTCAATGATGAGGCTCGAATTTGGGCCACCTTGTACTGGTATCCACATTTATAGGCTCAAATTTTATTGATAAATAGGAAGTTTTTTAGGAGAAATCTTATAGCAAATTCTTGTTTCAAATGGTCTAAAACCCAAATGTACTAATTTATATTTTAATAATACTGGGTGATCACAACAAAATATTTTCAAAATTTAATGGATCAATGCGGTGTTTTTCATTTTGGACATTAGCAATGCCTTTTTCACTAGGTACAGTATTTGGATCGGGTAAGAATTATTTCTACTATTTTTCCCTAATTTGAAATAATTCCAGAGGCCATCGGTAAGATGATCGGCTTGAGGTAGGTACCACTACTTTACGGTACCATGGAACGTGTTTGACTTCCTTCTGATGGTGTTGGCTTGAATTTTGGGTATTTTAATGGAGGACATCATGACATCATTTTGCGTTTAATTGATTAGGAAATTGGGCTTTAGTTCCAATCTAATTACGTTAGAATCGGATTGGAGAAAATCAAGAAACTTATTTATTATAAGTAGTTAGGTACCTAGGTACTCGAAATACTTCAAGCAAAATACTTGACATAATCAATTAGGCAATTCAATCCATCTGTCAGATAGGAAAATTCAATATGACGTGGCGGCCAAGCAAGTTTGTTTTGAATGTGTTTTTATGCGTATTTCAAATTATTTTGCTTATAGTTTTGCTTGCAACTTTGATTTGGATTATTTAATAAAATATTTGTTGACTAGGTACCTAAACTAATAAATCGGGCAGAATCTAGATATTTTTTTGTGCTTTTTGGCCCATGTGTGGCCGCCACGCCATCTTGAAAGTCACGTGGTTTGAATTGCCTAATTCAAAATTCAAGTATTTTAGAATAGATATCGGAAGTACAAGTACCTACATAACAAAAGAAGTCATTCAAGGTACTTTAATTACTTATTGAAGTAGAATTTCAAGTAATTTACTTCTAATATTGACAGCTCTGATTTCTCATCCATTCTGATACTTGATTGTCTTAGCTTTGAAAATATGTACTCTCATTCCACTGGTTATACAACTCACTGTACATTATTCCCATATTACACGCAGTGGCGGCTCGTAAAAGGAGGCAGGGGAGGCTAAACCTCCCCCAAAAAATTGAAAATTCAATCTCAATTTTTTATTCCTGATTTCTAATTAAAATAATAATTAACAAATTACACTTTCCAATTTTCGATATTTCAATGTAATTTAGAAAAATCTGACAACATTATTTCAATCAATTCCGCGCCTCCACGACAAATATCTGTGAATCTGGGATACTCAGTTATACCGGCCCGAAGGGCCGGAGTTATATGTGAGCCCGAAGGGCCGGAGTTATATGCGAGCCCGAAGGGCCGGAGTTATATGCGAGCCCGAAGGGCCGGAGTAATACGAGCCCGAAGGGCTAGAGTTATTTTAATAACGGGGCCTAGTTTATAATTCTATTGGTGAGCGGATAATTTAGAGCTAATTGAAAACCGGGAGTATTTAAAATGCGATTTCTAACGTCCGATCAAAGACTCAGGAATATTCAAAAACTTTAGTTTTATCAAATTGGCTTTGGAATGTCGGTTTTCTCAAGATTTTTATTTTTTTCAGAAAACGGTGGTTTTTGCAAACATATACTACTTTATCATTGTCTTTGTCTTACTCACTATAATCAATAAGTAAACCTTTAAATTCATTTTCATTGAAATTAAACTAAAAACAAGTTTCCTATAATTTATTTGGGGAATTTTAATTACTATAATCATTATTAATTAATTATTAAATTGAATTTTAAACAAAAAACCCTTTTAAAATGTTATTTTTTTTTTCCGAAATGAGATGTGGCAACGTTGCTTTTAGTTGGCCATTTTGAAGTGACGCCTTGTAATTTTTTGCCAGTTTTTCATCGAGTTTTTCACTTTTCCGGGGCTTTTCAATGGAAAAAGGCAATTTAACATACGAGGTTTTGAGTTGTCTTCATTTTCTAGCAAAAATGTCCAGTTTTAAAATGACATAAATAACAAAGTCCCATTTAAAATTTCTTTTTTGGAAGTTTCGATGTGGCAACAGCGTTTGTATTAACTTCAAATAGGTTTTGTAATAAATGTCATTTGCCAGTTTTGACAGTCGGCAATTTTTAATTGACGTGTTTACATTTCTATTCAGTTTTTCCTCGAATTTTCCACTTTTCCAAGCCGTTTTCAGTCAAGAAACCCGATTTGAAATACGAGGCTTTGAATTTCCTACATTTTGTGCTAAAAATTCCCAGTTTTCCAATGGGGTAAGTGACAAAAACTCAAATTTCATTAAGTAGGCTTTGGAATGTCATTTTTAGAGGTTTTTCTTTGAATTTGTCCGCTTTTCCAGGGCTTTTCTGGTCGGAAAAACCGATTTAAAGTACGAGGCTTTGAGTTTTCTTCATTTTCCACCAAAAATTTCCAGTGTTTCAACGGGGTAAATGAGAAAAACTTTAGTTTTATCAAGTAGGTTTTGGAATGTCATTTTCGTTGGTTTTTTTTTTTGAAATTTTTATTTAAGGTTTTTGGGGTCCGGGGATCGTTTTATATCACTTTTGTTCTCGAAACTCGCAAAAAAAAAAACTTTTTTGACGTTGACAGCTGTCAATTTTTTTTTAACACAAATCGATAGTTGGCGTCGCGAAACTGCCTTGATTTTCGTAGCTTTCATAGCAGAGCGGGAAAAAAGTCGAACATGTGTCAAATTTGACAGGTGACATTAGTCGATATTGCCAAAGTGTCGTGCCACAAAAGTTTTATCCGAACGAACCCGTTCATTGTTAATCTTTGAAACAAAAAGACGTCATTTTGTATCGATTGTCAAAAAAACCCAAGGTTTGAAATTTCAATTTATTGACGTTTGTTGTATCATGAGCAGCGTTGCCATGTTTTTATCCAATCTCGATTTATAGGTTATTTTAAACCCAATCATTGACATTTCTGAAAAATATTTCCTTTAAAATTCCCAAATATCCTTTGGAATCCCCAAAAATCTATTAAAATCTCAGAATTCCATAATTTAGTGGAATTTCGGTAGAATAATTATGTTATTCTGAAAAAGGAATTAGATGTAAAATTTTTGCGGAGTTTCCATAGAATTTACATTAAATTTTAATTCCTCTCGAATTACTTGAAATTTCAGTGAAATTCCGATCAAATTACACGAAATCCTAAATGAATTACATGGAGGAATTTTAAACAATTACATGAAATTACACCGAAATTCCCAACATGAAATTTCAGTTTTTACTGAATTTTATTAATGCCGAGCAATTTCCAGCTAAAAACATGGAAATTCGGTGATATTCCGAAAAATTACCATGTAATAACATGAAATTTCAATATATTTCGATGAATTTTTAAGAAATTACTTGAAACTTCATTGATATTCTCAGAAATTCCTGGGTATTAAAAGAGAATTTCAGTGAAATTCCGAAAAATTCTTATGAAAACAAATTAAATTTTTGAAAATTCCTTGAAGTTTCATTGGACTTTCGAGAAATTTTTGGTTATGAACGTGGATATTCTCATAAAATTTTAGTGAATTCCGAGAAATTTTTAAGAAATTACATGAAATTCCAAAAAAATCTATGAAAATTTTGTGGAATTCCAGGATATTTCAGTGGTAAAATTTTGAGGAATTTTAGTAAAGTTAAAAAAAAATATGGAATTTTGAAATTGAAATCTTAGTGGAATTCCGAGGAATTTCATGAAATCCTATACTGTAATTAGCCTCCTCACTTGAAATAGTCACGAGCCGCCACTGATGACACGAGAGGCTTAAGAAGTGATAAGCCTTTTGGGATTATCGCGCTTGGTGGCAACATAGATAGTAAATTCTATTATTAATATAATTTGGTTCGTTGTATAATCGAATGTAATACCACAAGAGGTTTCAGGATTACCGGATAATACTTTTAGCTGTCACGAAACGCGTTACGCAGCAACACCACGACTCCGAAGGAGGAGTGGTGTTGCTGCTAACGCGTTGAGTGTTAGGTAAAAGTATTAGGTAATCCTGAAACATCGAGTGGTATTCAGAAGTTTATACAACGAACGAAACTCTAATACTTTATTAATTTTTATTATGATTAATAACATATTGCTACCAAGCGCGATAATCCCAAAAGGCTTATCACTTGTTAAGCCTCTCGTGTCACATGGGAATAATGTACAGTGAGTTTTATAACCTTTTGAATACCACTCGAGGTTTCAGGATAACCTAATACTTTTACCTGACACTCAACGCGTTAGCAGCAAACCACTCCTCCTTCGGAGTCGTGGTGTTGCTGCGTAACGCGTTTCGTGACAGCTAAAAGTATTATCCGGTAATCCTGAAACTTCTTGTGGTATTACATTCTAAAATTTTACTGTTGCTCACCTCAAACCAGGGTTGCCAGATCCATGAAATGAAAAAGCGGGACTGTTCTCATCCAGAGGGAAAGCTCGAATTTTTTTCGGGTACCACGTCTAAAACTCGGCCCAAAAGCATAAGGGAGAGAGGGGCAAGTGTCCGTGCCCAATATGTTCCCCCCGCCCCTATGGACCCTCCTTGAGCAAAAGCGCAACAAATTTTATGGAGCCACGCCGAAATTTTGTTAAGAATTCACCGAAACATCGACCAAAAAAAAAATTCTCCTTTATTAGATCACAACTTCACGCTTCACGTCGACACAACAGAAAATATCATTATCTATACACTATACAGAGTGGCAAAAAAGTAGCGCATAATACCTGTTACTTTTTGTATGAAAAAAGGTCCTAAAAAGCTAAAGGCTGTATGCACTGCTATTTTGCCACTCCGTATGTATAAACAATAACTAAAAAATAACAACTTAAGTTTAAATTGTCATATTTTTGACATGATGACACTTTTCTTAAGATATCATCTGCGTCCCCACTTTTCAAAAATAATATAAAATCTTTACAACTCATTTCAAAATTAGTTTCAGGCCGGGGTTATCCAATTCCTTAATTCCTAATTTCTGTTCTTCAATAGATATTTTATCACTAGTGACGAAAGTGACGTTTTCGGCTAAGGTGAAATCGAAAGTTGATTATTTTTTAATGGTCACAGAAAAAATGATTTTTGACGAAAGTTGTTTATTTTTCAATAAGGGCCAGAAAAAAAGTGCATTGAAAGATTTGGATTTTGTTTGATTTTTTGACATTTTTATACCTACAAAATACAACATTTATTATTAAAACCCAAGAATCGTAAACTAACAGGATTGCTCATCCTGAAAAGGCGTACGTTCGCCGGTTCTCGAGTTCACAAGGTCTGCGAATGACGTCACTATGTCAGCAGCTAATAGTGGTGACGTCACCCGCAGACCTCGGTGAAATGCTTGCGATTCAGGCTCGTTATTTGATTTTTGCGTCGATTTTAAATGTGGAAATAGCTATTTGTTGTAAAATGAGCGTTTTTCTTGCACTAAATGTGAAGATTGGGTGGAAAAAGCGGGAAAACCGGGACAATTCACGTGAAAAGCGGGACTTGAAATTAATAGAAAAAAGGCGGGACCGGTTAAAAAAATGCGGACTCCTAAGGTGGGACGTCTGGCAACCCTGCCTCAAACCCTCTACCAAACATCCTGAAAATTTCCAAAAGATACTCTGACCTACTTTTTGAGTAAATTGGAGCAGAGGCAGTAGAGATTTGCAACAACTTTGAAAATGCTATCTCAATTAAAACATCCAATTAGGACGTTAAAACCCGGAAAAAATTCGAAAAAAAAACTGAGAGAAAACCCTAGGAAAACATTTACGTGGAAAATTGAGAGAAACAGTTAAAAAAAAAAACGGGGCAAAAGCTGGAATCAGCCGGAAAGAGGAGCAAAAGAAAAATTGGAAAGGAAATATTGGAAAATGATCGAGGTGAAATTGGAAGAAAACAATCAGTTAAGAAGTTTGAAAAAGTGCTGAGAAAAAGTAACGGTACAAAGTCGTGGCAAAAACCTGGAAAAAAAAAACAAACAAGAAAAAGCGAGGGTATAAAATTGTGAAAAACTTTGCACATAGGCATAGAAATTACCATAAATGAAGTAGGAGAGCTTAACAAAGTTCCAGGAAAAAGCGGAAGTAGAAAAATTGAAAAGGAAATGGAGAAAATCTGACTAAATATTTCAGAGAAAAATTTAAAGGAAAAAACATTAGTTTATTATAATCTGGTTGAAAATCTTGAAATTTCGTTGACTATTTCAACCACTGGGTATACTTTTAAAGTGTCTAGAATTTTGCTAGTTACACTTTTGTTTTTTTTGAGCCCTCAGAAAATACAAGAACCTCTTTTTGTGCTATTAGGGACACTCTACGAACCAAAAATTCTTCCTCCAAAGCCACCTCACCAACAACTCTCACCTGATTCTTCAACTCCTCAATCTTCGCACCCACGTTGCTGTTGTTATGGTTCAATTGCCCGTGCGAGTGGCTCAACTTTTTCTTCAACCTTTTACCGACGTTTTTATCGGGAATACTCCCGTGCGATTTCGCAAAGCCCTTTTGCTTGTTCTCTTCCAAATTCGTAACCACCCTTCGCGTCGGATGCACTATCAAATTGGGTTTGATTTTCGGATCGTTACCGAACGGTTTGTAGATGGTTTCGCCCATTACTGCCATGGGTAGGTTGTCTTGGTTGAGCACTTTAAAGGCCACGTCTTCGTCTGAAGACATTTTGGTGCAGGCTTCTTCGGTCATGTTTGCATTTTATTGAGCTTTTGTGTATAAGGTATAGATTTAATGGAAAAATTATTGCAAAATCGAATGTCCAATTTAGACTTTTATGAGTTTTTGAAACATTGAATTTGATAATGTAACATTTTCCTCAAAAACATCAAACCTTATACAAAAAAACAAACAGTCCAGTTATTAACCTCTCTCTCCCCGGTGTAAAAAATTCACTCAGTGGTTAATAATATAGACACGCCAAGAAATAGCGTCGATAAGCTATGCAGCTAGCTACGCGTTATTTTAGAAACTGACCGGCGGTCAGTCTGTACAAATTTTACTGCTGACCCGTCGCGGTTTTGGCGCATGACGATTATTTTGTGATTAATAAAGTAGATATGTATTTGAATAAATTGGGTGGTTGGGATTTTTTTTTTCTTGATGAGAAATTTGAATTAATGATTTGTCTGCCAGGGAAAACTAGAAATTCAATCCTATAAGTTTAAGGGCCGGTTTCTCAATAGCAGGTCAGCCCCCGGGTTAACTTGACTCCCTAGAGTTAAAACCAACCCGGAGGTGATCCGCTATTGAGAACCGGCCCCTTAGAAGGTTAGCTATTAAATCAATTTTTAAGGATTTTAAAATAATTTATCAAAGGAAAAATTCTTGAGGCTAAGGGTCGTTTTCTCAATAGCGAGTCCGCTCTGGGTTGGTTTTGACTCCAGGGTAAACGTGTCTAGTTGCAATGTTTATCCCGGAGTTATGCTTAACCTGGGGCTGTTGAAAAACCGGCTCTAAGAATTTAAAACTTTGAATCAATAAATCTAGAAATAATAAGGCCAGGAAATCCGGAAACTACATTGTGTGAAAATTCCACTTTTATTTTCTCTTCTAGTTTCCAAGAACTTTTAAGCTATTATACAGGAAGATCAATACTTATTCCTACCCAAATAAGGGTGAACGTACGTTGTGGATTTGCTGAATATCCGAAGGTCAGCATAATTACCTTATATAGCTGAACTGGACTTTACATCATTGGAAACACGCCATTCTTAAATGTTAGAGGGAAAAAAGAAATGGACAGAATACACGAATGGTTTTTCTAATAAGTAAACCATCTACAAGTATATGAGTATCATCTGATGAAAAAGTTCCTTAGGACAAATTTGTTCTATCAAGTTTACAGGCGTTGGTCAACACGCAACCCTTCAAAAATTACTATTTATTTTTAGGGCATAGGAAAAGCACTGGCGTGACCCCTACTTGAAACATTGACGTCCGTCCTTTCAGTATTTCTAATAGCTTTTTCCTTAATAATTCATAACCAACATCAGTAAGGAGGGTTTCAATTACCTACGCATTGTCGATTTTATTAAAAGCTCAGTTATGTCTTATGTCTACTTAATTTTTTTTGAATCTAATGATTGAGAGAATCTGCAGTTATAGTTAAAGTCGGCAGATTTTAGAATCAAAATGCAGGCAAACTCCCTTTTGTATGAGGGTAAGATTAAAATTGTATATTTAATACGTTGCCAAAGCCTGATAATTGTTGGAGAAATATAATATGATAATATATCGATTTATGGTTATGCTATCCATTATCATAATTCACTATCAGCATAAAATTGCAACAGTCACGGTCAAGAATAACCTCAACCCTATCTCAAAGGTCATCACGGTATACTCAATGCCACTTTCAAAAAAAAAAAGTCTATATTTTATTCAAATGTGATTTTTTTGCATGTTGTAACACTTACCCCACAACCATTTTCTTATTGTTGTACAAGGCCCTGGGCGAACTGGAAAACATGTATTCGGTTTTTGTTCGCGACTTGCTTCCAGTTTCCGATTCGTCGTCCAGGTTCATTTTTTGTACGTTCGATGATTGGATCGTTTTGGCACTTATTGGGTTTTTGCACGACGCTCTCTCTCCCATTGTCATCTTTGTCGATTTAAATTATTCTGTGAATATAATGGGAATTATATCGCAAAAATAAACCAACGTTTTCAGTGGGTGTGGTGTTGAATTGACCAGTAATGGAGATATTTTGAAATTGGTTCAATAATCGGGTATATCAATAATTGAGACGAAATAATGGTATTGTCTCAGTTCGGAGAAACGAGAAACTGACTATTTGTTTAGGTTACTGCTACTTGGATTTGAAGATAGTATAGTTTAGAATGTTGTTACACTAAATTCGCCATTTTCTTCTCGACGTTTGATTCTTTAATGTGAATGGATAGCTTCAGAATTGAATCGCTTTGCTGATCTTATTTAATGTTCAATTTTTGATTCGAATTAAGAGCCGGAAATAATAACTGAATTGATAAGGTGTTTTCATTCGGGCTTAATGGCCGTCGTAAATAAAAGTTTCTTCCTTCAAATTAAGAGGTGCTTCCATGTCCGATTCTGGTAGCAGACTGACGCGTTCTCGACCTTAACTTATATTTATGTGTAAGTGGTTATGGTGGGGGAGGGGCGGAGCTTCGTGGCACATGGCTAATCTCAACTTTCTCTATATTCAATGGGATCTTTTTTGTGTCTTTGAGGATCGGGATCCAGATTTGGTTAAGTTTTAGTATTTCTTCTTTCCTGTTGAAGTTCTCCGTATGCTTGTGGATTTCTATAGCATCACGTACAAGCCGATTGTGATATGCGGGAATCGGTGCTAGAAGCTTGACCTCACCAAAGAGTATTTCATGATGCCTGCCTTCACTAAGCGCGCATGTTCCGCAACTGCCGATTTTTCCGATTGTCCTAGTCTGCAGTTTCTTTTGTGCTCGTTCATTCTGGTTCCCATGGATCCTATATTTATTTCAAATCAAATCAAATCGAATTTATTTGCTTAGTATAGTACAATATGAAGACTTAAACTTAATGTTTCGGTCACTTCAAGCAAACTTAAACTATTTTACTTATACTAGTTGAACATCTTACTATTTATACTACTAAGCTTTTAACCAGCACAATGGATTTCGAAAATCTGTGCATGCTGGTCATTAACTCAGAATCATTTATACATTCATATTTAGGCTATGCTACAAATAAAAATGTATATAGAAAAAAATACTTTTATTGTTATTACAGTAGTAAATTTTATTCTAATGCTTCAATAAAGTTACAATAAGGTTATTATCCAGAATCCACTCTTGAATTTTATTTTTTATTCTATAATGGCTTATTTTTAAGTGAGACAGGTAAAGTGTTATAGACTCTGGGGCCAGTATAGCTGATATGTCGCTGAGTTGCTGTGTGCCTGACAAAGGCCATTGATAGGTTGTGGTTTGCTGCATGTCTTGTGTTTAAGTTATGCAGCAGTTAATTTCTTTAGCACTGATTGTTGATCAGAGCTGGGCAAGCTACTTGGAAAAAGTAGCTAGCTACAAGCTACAAGCTACTTTATATTGTAGTAGCTAAGTTACTCAGTAGCTCAACTACCTCTTTGAAAAAGTAGCTAAGCTATTAGTAACTTAACTACATTTTGAATTAGTGAAAGCTACTATTTAAGCTACTTTTATCAATGTACATGGCTTACCTAATTTAATTTCATAATATCATTATACGAAAATAACATATTAACTTTAACACATAAAACATAGGTACCTACAGAGATAACTAGAAACTAGTCTAAGCAAGGCAGGATAAGAATTTTCCGGAAAATGATAATTGTAGCTTGAGCAATTAAAGTATAAAGTTACTTTTATCGAGCGGTAAATTTAAACGCGGGCGATAGGTTGGTGGAAACGTGCCTTTATAAGGGGAAAACTGTTTATTTTTGAAAACAATGTCGAATGGATGCCATTATACAGGGTGTCCTTAAATAAACTGACATATTTTGCAGGTAAATATTTCGATAACGGGAAAAGATAACGAGGTGCGGTTTGTTTTGGGAGAATAAGCATTTTTATTATTTTTTTTCCACAATATTGCCGAATCCTAAAATTTGCTGAAATTTGGTTTCACGCAGATATGCGATTTTTTGAAATAAAGTGACTGCCTTATTTTTAATGAAACACCTTGTATATTTTCTTATCGCCAGAAAGCCTGATTTTTCTACTTTACAAAAATGTACAATTTTTTTTCAATTATCTTGAAGTTGCATCGTGAAAATTGAACTTTGTCGAAGAGAATACCATCGACTAACCAAAAAAAAATTGAAAACCAATTTGTGTTTAATACTTTCATTAACTAATTAGCGCATAGTTAACTAATAATACAAGTATTAAACACAAATAAGTGCATATAAAACACAAATAGATTTTTATCATTTTTTTTTTTGGCCAGTCGATGGTACACTTTTTAACAAAGTGCAATTTCACGATTCAATTTCATGATAATTGAAAAAAATTATACATTTTCGTGAAGTAGAAAAGTCACGCTTTCTGACGATGACAAAATATACCGGGTGTTTCATCAAGAATAAGGCAGTAATAATTATTTCAAAAAATCGAATGTCTGTAAAACCAAATTTCAGGATTCGTCAATACCACGAAAAAAAACTTTAAAAAATCCTTATTCTTCCAAAACAAATCCCATCCCGTTATCTTTTCTGGTTTTCGAGATATTCACCTGTAAAATGTGTCAGTTTATCTAAAGACACCCTGTATTATAGGTATAGTTATTTTATTTTTGAACTAGAAGAGTCCGCTGTGCATAAAACGTAATAAATATTTTGGGCGTTGAGTATCGTTAACCACACCCTCGGGCGGTAAATGACACTTTCCGCCATTACTACCTAAATAACTATTAACTATCTACCAAAAGTAGCTTAAGTAGCTTGTTTTAGTAGCTAGCTACTTTTCACAGTAGCTTATGAATACTTTAAACACATTACCAAAAGCTACAGCTACAAAGCTACTTTTTTTTCAAAGTAGCTTGAATAAGCTATTAGCTACCAAAAAAGTAGCTAAGCTAGTAGCTTAACTACTTGGTAGCTAGCTACTGCCCAGCTCTGTTGTTGATCCTGAATATTAATGCAGATTTTATATATAATTGTTCTAGGTTCAAGAGTTTACTTCCCTGAAACAGCAGTTCTGTAGAAAATCTTTTATTTTTAAAAATTTGTTGGCTTGAAGATTGTTTTTATGTTGTGATTTTTAAAGACTTTCCCTATTCTGTCTGCAACTCGAGAAATGAAAGGCAGATATGCTAATGAAACTAAGTGTCTGCGTCGTGAGGTTTTTGAATTGAAAAATTCTCCACATCCTATAGCCCATATTAAATCGACTCCTCCTAGAAATAACATAGTAGGTGATAATTTGGCAAAGGGACTTAGGGATATTATGGATCATTGTGTGAATCGTGAGTTTTCTGTATCAGCTTTAATTGAAGAGAATGCCTTTCTTGATGAGTCGGTGAGAGAT